TCTTTATTCAAGTAGTTAAGTATGTGTATCTTAATCATTATTTGCATCATATAATGGCATTTGGGACTCTAATGTAACTGCAGTATTGTTGCATATGGTTGTATATGTCATGTCAACAATGTGCATATGTATGCATCTCCACATCCCCTAGCTCTGCCACTGGGATCGGATAAATTCCCAAACTTATAGCAAGACCCTAGCTATATTCCAAATACTCTCATATAGTTAACATTTTGCATCAATACAAGTATCTATGAGTGCGATTTGATCGCTTGATCGTGTTCCTCGGTATGATCTGATGCAATTTGCCATGTTCACCTCCATCTAAAAAGGAAAAAATACATATAGAAAATAATCTCCACCTTCATCTAAAACAAATTTCAAAAGAGTTCTCACCACGGCCAACCAGCTTGCGCCACGTGACATAGCTTGTTGGCCGTCCTTCCCACGTAGCTTAACGTTTTTAATTGCACGGTCTGAACACGTAGAAAAAGTTGAGGAAATAGAAATTGAAAATGAAAAGGGGAATCATGAGGGGGCCATGTGAGTAGATTCTGGCACACATACCACCACCTACTAACGCTGGTAATAGGTCTCCACCCCCTGGATTTCCTCCTTGCTGTGTAATTGACATCGATTCAACAGCATCAACACCAGTTGTCGTGCAAAGAAACACCAGGAGACTAAGTTTTCGTACTGATCAACAAGCTGAATGAATATGAGAAGCACAACATGGTTGGTTGTGGGGTCGTTGACCTGCGAAACGCAACGACACATAGCAGTGTTCTTTTCTTTTATTGTTTCTTTTTGTTCTTTGGTATTTTAGGTTTTCATTGTTTTCACCGATTTTCTTCTTTTCTTTGCAGTGTTTTCATTGGATTTTTTCTTTTCTTTATACTATATTTCTTTTCTTTTTTATCTTCACTAGTTTTTTTCCCTTTCTTTCTTTTTTCTATGGTTTTCTTGGTTTCTTTCTCTGCTTTTACTAGGTTTTTTCATATTTCCTTCATTTTTCTTCGGTTTTGTTTTTCTCTTTCACGTTTCCATAGTTTTTTTTTGTTTTCCTTTGTTTCTTTCTTGTTTTCACTGTTTTCATCTTTTCACTTGTTTCTATGTTTTTGTCGTTTTCTTTGGTTTCTTATGTTTCTTTTCATTTTTCATTGTTTTTTCTTTGTTTCTTTTGGTTCCATTCTACATTTTTCGCATACGTCACTAACTTTTTCTTATACATGATTAACATTTTTAAATACAAGTATAACATTTTTCAAATACATGGTTAAAGTTTTTTCTATACCCATTTTCAATATTTATTAAATACAATATGTACATTTTTTATATTGGTCAACATTTTTCTGTACAATTAAAAAAACAAATGTTTGATTTAAAAAAAATACTAGATAAACATTTTTTATTACATAGTCAATTTTTCTATACATGTTTAATATTTTATAAATGCTTGATTAACATAGTTTAAATGTAAGATGAATATTTTTTAATACATGGTCAACATCTTTTATATACATTTAACATTTTTCAGATACAAGTTCAACAACTTGTGGTTGGATGGTTACGACGACAGTGGTATTCTCACCCCACCAGAGTTCAAGTCCTATACGTGACACGGGTGCTTGCATTTTTCTACATTTATTCTAGACCTTTCGTCGATGTGCGTTTAGTGCGAGAAGACGTTTTCGTCGACTACAAAGACGTTTGTAGCCACGACGTCAATCTCAAGATGATGTGTCGGCTCAGTCTCTCCAACATGCTCGTAGGACTAGGGGTGTGCGTGCGTGCAATCATAGCGGTGAGGGTATGCACGTGTATGTCAACGACTTCGATTGTACTATGTTAAAAGAAATTAGTTTAACACCTTTTCAATATAATATAAGATTAGTTTTTTAATACGTAGTCAAAAAATTTATATACATACTTAATATTTTTTAGATGCTTCATTAAGAATTTTTAAATACTTGTTAAACATTTTTTATGACATGGTCAACATTCTTTCTATACACGTTTAACATTTTTCAAAAGCTTGATTACTTCTTTTTAATACATAATCATCTTTTTTCATACACCTTCTATCTTTTTGCTATACTTTTTTGTATACATGAGAAACAATTTCTCTATAAACATTTAACATTTTTCAAATTGGTTAACATTTTTTTCGAAAGTTCTATGTAAAGTATTTTTTTGAATATATTTATTAAGGATATTATAAAGTATAACAAAAATTAAAAAAGAAAGAAAGACAAAAACAAAACCGTAAAACGTGAAACCAAAATAAAGAAACGAGGTCGCGCCCTCCCGCGCGCCTGGCCCGGCCCATACGGCGCTCGCTTGCTTTTGGGAAGCTTCTAGAACCTCCTAGACCTTCTTTTATCATTTGATTTCTTTCTAGTAATTTTTTTAATATTTTTTATAATCATTTCTGTATTTTATTTATTTATTTTCCTTTTTCATGTTTGTTTCTTTTTCCTTTTCATTTTTTTATCTTTTCATCTT